TATACATATATTTTTGCATATGTGATATACATATACTATGGAAAGTTGAGAGATTCAACTCGAACATGATAACCAATTCATTAGTTACTAAAAACTTCAAATTTTTAAGTTATTCGAATCTATTTTATACCTCAAACTTTATTTAATTTTTTAAAATTGAATTTAGCCTATAAAATTATAAATCAAATAAAAAATTTAAAATTTTAATAAAATTTATTCTATAATTTATAAAACTAATTGTTTAAACACTATAATATATAAAAAAAACTTAATTGATATAAACATAATTTTTGTTTTAATAATAAATTCCAATCAAGTGAGATTTAGTAATAGAGTATGATATAAATTTATCGTGACACAAATCTATATACATATAAAGAATAGAGATCATGTAGGAAAAAATATTAGCGACATATTTTTAATTCTTGAATAACACATTAAGAAGAAACAAAGACTAACACTTCAATTATATCTATATAAATTAATAATAGAAATCTTTTTAAATTATAGAGTTAAAATTATAACTTTGATCCCTATGATTTTGTTTTTAAAAGCTCTATGATTGATATGATTGATTGAATATGTTTTTGTTTTATATATAAAAATATATTATTTTTAAGATTAATTTTAAATGGATGTTAATTTTGAAAACAAAATTTTAAATGATAATATTTATATAAATTGGTTTAAAAAGGAAAAGAAGAAAAAACTATTTTATTCGGAAAAGAAAAAACTTTTACTACTAAAAAAAAAGGGGGGGAACTAGTTGGACGCACATAGAGTGCCTGAGTTTTAAGCAGGCGAGTTCTATAACTCGGGAAGTGAGTGAACGGGTGAGCGTGTGAGTCGACAGATGTGATGAAACTGGGTTAACTTTTTGTTGAAGTCGATGTCTTTGTTTATATATAATTTTTTATTTTTAAAGCTTTGAAAGCGGTATTTGACAGGAAGGAAAAACCAGTGGGAAGCAGAAGAGAAAGGAAAGACACAGATCTGAAACTTTATTTGTTCTCCGTGTTGAGTGTTTTTATTTTGGGTTTCATTTTTATCTGGGAGACAGGTGAAAGAGTAGAATTGTTTTCATAGATATGCATGCACCATAGACTTTGAAATTTCAAAAAGGAAAACCCAAGTCTCACTCAAACTGAAGCTCAACATCATTATATGATCTGACCTTTTATCCAAAATGCCTCGTCCTTTTTTCCATAAGCTTATTCTATCCACCACCCTTCAAGAAAAGAAACTGGTAAAATGCTAAAACCCCTTTCTTTTTCATCTCTTTCTCTTACTTTACTCTTCTTATTGCTCTTTAATCCTTGTTTTTGTTACGCTTCTCTATCTGGTTACTCGTATATTGTTACTGACCAAAACTAGGTAGATAAATTTTTCCCCATTTTGAGGGCGATTTAGTATTTCAGGAAGAAGCTTTTCTGTGGGACAAAGTTGAGTCATGGAAAATTAGGGTATGATGGAGATCAGCTGCTTTTGTCATATGTTTCTTTCCCTTCCATTTTTTTTGTTTTTGGGTACTTTTTGTTTCTTTTGTGATTTGAACTTTGAACTTTGAAGTGTGTTTTTGAGATTTGAGGAGGAGATTTGAAGGTTAAGACATGATGAAATTATACAAAAAGTAGCGAGATATGAAGAAACTAGTTTTAGTTTTGATAGCTGGTGTGATATGGTTTTCCTCAAATAATCCTACAAGTTTGTTTGCCTACTTGATGAACTAGGTAAAGTAAACACAAGATCTCAATTTTCACTCTAAAGTTCCTTTTATCAGACATATGCTATTATTGAAGCCGTGGAGATATACTTTTTGAGACCAATTGTTGATGCATGATGTGTGTGTTACTTCATTTTAGTATATATAGCTATTGACTATATAGATATCGGAGTGTGTTAGTATTGTACTTGAAGAAAGAAATCTAATCTTTTGATTCTTTTCAGGTTCAATTTTGCAGAAAATATTATGTCTTTCAAAGTTGTTATTAAAATGAATTGTCATGTTTGTTGCTGAACTCAATTTGCCCTAAATTTTCACTCATTTGGAATGGTGTGATAATTCTCTCATGGATTTCGTTTGGTTATAAATGAAGAGAAGTTGATTGGTGTAATTTTCATTAATTTTCTATGTATCATTTGAGTTTACCTGCATGTGAGTGAATGCTTATTAGTTTTTATATTTGGACTTATCCACTGGGTTTTAAGTTGGTACTTTTTATGCATTTGCTTTGATCTTACTGTATGCATTGTGGGGAATAAGGAAGACATAGCAAGTCTATATAATGGTAAAATAAAGTTATTTATTCCCGGATTTTTCTGATTTAATAGAGTACCTGAGGCCGATGGACTCTTGTTTGTTCTTTTTCCTGGTAAAATACATGTTTATAGAATACATATTCTGGGAAGGATCTCATAGGACATGGCTATATTACTTGGGTATCTTTCCGATAAAGAAACAAACTTTATAGAAGGTAATTTGTACTAAATTTGAAAACTGTAAGATAATTCAAGCTGTTTATTTATTTCAATCTTCATCCTTGGTGTATATTACTTAGATGGGGGATCTTTTTGACGGGCATCTACTTGTTTGGCATCTCTCATTGGGTAATACTGCTAGCAGGTTTCATCAAATAGATCACATAATGTGGCTATCTCATAACGTGTTTTATGAGCAAGAGAAGAAAGTTCATCTACATCTTAATTTCATAATTTTCCCTTGATGTTTAGTCATTTGAAAAATCATGTATGGATTTCGTTTTTAACTATGATTATGCTTACTGTATATACGTGTTATGCTGCATATTCTTTTCTTTGAAATGATCCAAACTTCTCATGTTGATGCTAGTATTACTTTAAGTCCGAGGACGGATTAGTAGTTTTCTTCACCCAGCATGAGGTTTAAGCCCACAATGTTATGAAAGAGCCTCTGCAAATTATTCACTAAAACCATCTGAATCACGGTTCTAGTATTCATCAAATAAATAATCCTAACTTGATTTGGGGGTGTCTGCAGAGGATCCCTGATAACTTTGTTAAGAAATTCAGGGATGAACTTTCTGTTGCTGCTGCTCTCACTGTTCCTGACGGTCATGTTTGGCGTGTAGGAATAAAGAAAGCCGACGACAAGGTTTGGTTTCAGGAAGGTTGGCAGGAATTTCTAGAGCGTTACTATATCCGTGTTGGCTACGTTTTGGTTTTCAGATACGAGGGAAATTCTGCTTTCAGTGTTAGTATATTTAATTTGTACAACTCGGAAATAAACTATCAGACTAACACCCTTGGTGGTGCTCAATACAATCACGGAAAACAATATCCATTTGAACAACTTGAAGATGATGAATGCGTCTCTCCAGCACTGCAGAATTTGTTTGGTGGGTCTAAACTTAACAGCTGCATAAACTGGGGTGGTGACGTTAACCTTCAAACTTCAAAGGGTGTGAATAATCAAGTTATTCGAGGTACGGCTTTTCATTTAGTGCATTTGAGCTTAAAATGATTCTGCTAATGAAGTGAAACTGCATACTTCAGGTGCAATGCCACCGGAACCAAAAAAGCGTGGGAGGAAGCGGAAGGTTGATCCTAGTAAGTCTTCTTAACTAAGGTTTATTGTTTTTTCTTTTGTTCTTTTAAGGAATCAGAATTTATGATCGGTTGTTAAATGAAATGTAGACATACAGGAGTCATCAGCTGGACATGTAGATGATGTTGATATGCGCTTTAAATGTTATGAAAGTGCTTCAGCCCGGAAGAGAACTGTGACAGCTGAAGAAAGAGAGAGAGCAATTAATGCATCCAAAGCATTTGAGCCATCTAACCCTTTCTGCAGGGTCGTCTTGCGACCATCATATTTATACAGGGGATGTATTATGGTGAGCATCGATATGATGTGTTGTTCATGTCTTTTTCGTTTTCATCCTGTAGCATGCGTTAACATGCATTTTGACTTTCTCTCTCAGTACTTACCATCCTGCTTTGCTGAGAAACATCTAAACGGGGTTTCCGGATCCATTAAACTTCAGCTTCCTGATGGGAGGCAGTGGTCAGTACGATGTCTTTATAAAGGAGGCAAGGCTAAGTTCAGCCGGGGATGGTACGAATTCACACTGGAGAATAATTTGGGAGAAGGGGATGTGTGCATCTTTGAACTGCTTAGAGCAAGGGAATTCGTGCTCAAAGTTACCATATTTCGTGTAATGGAAAGCGCGGGACTAATGCACCGGCCTCACTAAAATGCCAGCTGAGTTTTAAACCAGCTTAGATCATAGAGAGCTGGAAATCTCAGAAATGTTAAAACTCTGTTAAATAACTCTTTTCTTCTCAGGTGACGGTGTAACCGACCTGGTACCATAAGAAATTAGCTGCTGTGTGTTGTTTTGATGTCCATCAGCTTTATCGGGACGTTTGGCTGATTAAGATAATTGATGCAAAAGTTTTCTGGCTTTATTAGCTTTGTAAATAAATTTCTCCAATGAAATCGACTTTGAGCTGGGTTTGAAAATGGGTCCTTCGACTTGGTTTTTGTGGTCCTGCTTGATTGGTTTGAAGTCGAATTTTTCCAACGCTACTTGGCTTTAATTCCTCTTGTTGCTTTCATGCTGCAGTCCTGTATATTGCTTTAACGTTTTCATTTCCTAGTTTGCTGCTGAAAATTTGTCACTGCTTTTAGATTACCGTAGAATTATGATATCTGTGTGTTAAGGGTAGGGCGGACATAAGATATAATGTTAAGGGACAAAAACAGATTATTAATAGAAAATATAAAGAAATATATAAATTTTCTTGGTCCATTACTGATTAACTTTATCGTGACAGTTGTGGTATTTGAAATGTTTTCTGTTGTATTTTAATATCTTGTGCAAAGTCTGTGTCCTGATTATGAACAAATTTCAATTTAATAAAATCATTACATTTTGATTCAAAGGTTCAACAGAGATTAATGAAAAGTAAGCAAATCCTACCAGATTTCAATGTAATTAATTTTGTTTTCAATTGGGGTTGGACCCCACGAAAAGAGATGGTCCGAGATAAAAAGAGAATTTTAATGGCCCAAATGCACAACATAAGGATCAAAGGAATGTAAAATATCTTCATCAATGTTTTTTTCACTGTCTGATGATCAAACAACTTGACGAAGCCAACTCCAAAAGAAAACAATGTCACAACAAGAGGGACCGTCTTTGCCTGAGAAGAAATCCTGCATCTTCTACAAGTTAATGGTGGCCTCCATTCTTCAAGACAAGAAGCTAGTTAAGTCCTGTTCCTTTCTATCTACTCTCTCTCTTTGTTTGGTCTCTGGGGATGTTGTAAACTTTACTGCAAATTTATTCCGTTTTCTCTTTATTTTCACGTGTTCTCTCTTTTTCTAGTAAAGATATAAACTTTTTTTTTTTTTGCATGAAGAGTACTTTTTGTTTGGGTTTGTTTAGTTGGTATGGAAGTTAAAATAAGAGAAATTTGAGGGTTTTGCATCGAAACTGAACCCATCTTGTTCCATGACCATGAGACTAATCAAAGAAGAGAAAAAAACTTGAAAGTTTGAGCTTTATTTTGGATCATCAAACACTTGTTGCTTCATTGTCCTATTTATATCACTGTTACAAGCACTATATGCCTTTCTTCTGCCTCGCACCTCTTGCTTGGACAGCTAACAAGTTAGCCTTTGGACTTTTGTTTTTCTGCTTCAATGTTCCGAACAATTAAAACGTGTTTGTTTTGTATTGTGTGCAACAAAACCGAATGATGAATCAATAATATGATTCCTTAAGCGCTTATTGTTGAAAATGATTTGGATACGGTTTTTTCATGGATTTGTAACAAGAGTAAGAGACCATGGTCTTTCCTGATTGAGCAAGAAAGATAACATGATCTATCATCAATTCTGCATCTCAGAGTGTAGACGATTTCCAAATGGATGCTGACTTGTTTTCTTTGTACTTACAGAAGATCCCAAATAAATTTGTTAAGAAATTTGGTGATGAGCTCTCTTCGATTGCTACACTTGCTGTCCCCGGCAGTCGTCTCTGGCTAGTGGAATTGAGGAACGAAAACAATAGGGTGTGGCTTGACTGTGGTTGGACTGTATTTATGGAATTCTATTCTATCTGCATTGGGTATTTCTTGGTCTTTAGATACGAAGGGAATTCACGTTTCAATGTTCATATTTATAACCTGAAAGCTGCAGAGATAAACTATCAGTCTAATAGCTTAAATAACTCGCATGAACCTTGCTATGATAAGCATTTAAATGATACAGAAGATGGTGACGTCGCCGGGATTAAGGCTTCCCAGCCTGCAGATTCTAGTTCGTACTTTTTGGTTGACAATGATTTCGATGAAGATGTAGATCATGATAGGAAGAAATGTAAGAACTCTACATGTCTGGATCAGAAAAACCATGAGGATGATTTACAAGCAACGTTTCAATCCACTCGAGACAAAGGCATTCAAGTTAATGGGGTTGAGGTTATAAGTGCCACAGATGAAGGTGTACTGTATTTCTTAAATGGAACACAAAAGAACACCAAAGAAATAAAGCAAGAAATCGAACCCGGTTAGCCTCTTGAACTTGAATGCTTTCTTTATAGGGTGTTCCTAATTGACCTTTTCTCATCTATAACATGTTCAAAGATATAGGGGAATACGAGTCATTTGGAAAATCCAACGTGAAAGTAGAGCTTCCAGCCATGAACTCTCCAAGAAGTATTCAACGGAGTCGGAGAGATGCAACGACAGAAGGAAAACAGATTGCTTTACGTGCAGCTGCAATGTTCAAACCCGACAATCCTTTCTGCAGGATTATCTTGCGTCCATCCTATGTATATAAGGGAATATTTCTAGTAAGCCCTTGAAAAAACGCTTTGATATAATTTGTTGTTTACTTTGAAATATTTTTCAACTAAGTTTGTAACTCCTTTTTTGTTTCTACAGCATATCCCTCGCTGCTTCGCTCTGAGGTACCTGAATGGAGTTGATGGGATCATCACACTTCAGGTATCCGAAGGTAAAAAGTGGCCAGTTCGATGTATTTATGGGCAGAGCAGTTGGAAGTTTAGCAAAGGATGGGCTGAGTTCGTGTTGGATAATAATTTAGACGAAGGGGATGTTTGTGTATTCGAGCTTATTAACACAAAGGAGATTGTGCTGAAAGTTACCATATTTCGTGTTCTTGAAGATGGCTTAGCAGTGAACCAACTATAATCCCGTAATTTGCTCGTCGACCAGCTAACAATGTCAGGTACATCTTTGCTTTCCTGCTGTGCTTTCCTGCTTCACAGCATTTAGGAGATCGTGTTGAAGTGTGATTTGATAACGATAATAATAACAATAATGGTATCAAACTCGACCGGGGCTGGAGGTGACCTCTTCTTTGTATACCAATGCTGGTATTTTGTAGCCTTAGGTGCTTTCATGCTTCGATTATTAGCAGTTAACCTCGCTGATGTTACTGTGAATATAAATGGAGAATCGTTATTGTTCCTAGAGATCATGGGTTTGAACACCAAATGATTGAGAATATTCAGAACATATATTACATTGTAATGACCAAAGGTTAATAAAAAAATTGTAGAAAACTAGATTTGTTGTGAAAGCATAAAATATCAAAGCGTACATATAACTGATAGTAATTTTGGGAGCAAAAAATAATCAAATCGATATCAACATAAAATAAGATATACACAACATATAAGATTTAACGGGATTCGGTTTTATCTATCTTCATGGGCAAGATGAGCAATAATCTATTATAAAAATAAAGAACAAGAAGAGCAAGTATATGATAATAAAATATCTACTTTATTAAATAAACTAATTACCAAATAATCTCCAACCACTAAAATTATAATAAAATCCAACTTAGTTATTAATTATAATTTAGGTCGAAATATAAAAATAATAAAATATGTTTTTTTATTTTTTTTTGTAAATGATCTATGTTTAAAAATACGTTGGAATGTCATTGAAAATCAATTAAATTAACAATCTATATTTGATGTCCTAATTATCTATGATTCAAAATATTATTAACAGATGATAAGGATAAATATCAAATTTACTCATGAATTTTAGTAAGATATATGATATTATATTTTAATTTAATTTTAATTTTAATTTTAATTTTGTATAATTGTATATCAAAGCCATTAGACTTATCCCGTATATCCAACGTAAGTTTCTTCCCCTGTTATGTTTATATGCACGTTTACATTAATATTAATCTATAATGAAATCAAACTATTAAACGATAAAAGGAAATGTATGTCTCTCTAAGGAATTTGAGTTTATAAAATTATAAATTTATGATTACGTTCTTTGCATAAATATCGTATAATTGTATTAATTCATTATATTCATGGACGGATGTAAAATCTTATAAAGTGATTAGCTTAATGTAGTACTTGATAACAACATCAAAATCAATTAAATTATATAAAATTAATTGTATCACCATATGTTTATATTATCTTTTTTAAAAAATATATTGTAAAAAATTGATACTTGCGGAATAATTATTCTTTGAGTTGACAATAGAATAAAAAAATTCTAGAGAAAATTTTTAAGGGTATCATGTTCTCATTGTTAATTTTCAATAAAAATAAAGAACACATGGCATTGCTATTACCCCGTTTGTAAAGTTCTTTTATTTCATTACTAGTACATATATAAAATAATAATCTATAATATACGAATCAAGCAATCTTAGTGATAAAATAATTAATGTTATTCCTTAAGGTCACTGGTTCGAGCAATATGAATGCTAGAGGTGTGAGCGTTTAATGTCAAATTGATTAGAGTTATCTTTAAATATATATTATTTTGCATATTTCGAGGATCCCGTTCAAGCTACTCTCTCATGAGTCGGCTATAATTGATGATAACTCCTATTAAGATGAAAATACAAATTTGATTTTTGGAAAATAAAATAATTTAAATTTTTATCTTAAATTCGTATCTTTCTTAAACTATTTTTTAATTTGACTCACCAAAATGACCAAATATATATTATGCGACCCTTTCTACAAATGTATACAAAATACATGTAGAATTTACTCATAAACGCATATAAATTTTGCTATTAATGTCAACGTGAATTTTTCATCTAACAACATACATCCTACAGACAACATCGATTCTATTAATCATCATATCAACATCTACCAATACTTGTATATATGATATATAATATAATTGAAGCGGAGACCTGAGGCTATAACTCCTCAACATCAACCCAAGCCTCACAACGGATCTCTTTGCCGAGCAGCTTAATTTCCCCCACAACTTTTCTCTGTGCTCGAACTTTGAATCTTGTTTTGGTCACTAATCTTCCCTTAACGCGGTAAAGGGTGACCCTGTCATCCTTTTCCAGACCCTTTGCCTGCACATATGCACGCCAACCCGAAGACAGCACAGGTTTGGGGTGCGAGTGTCGAGCTTCGTTCCTTTTCGACAGCCCAAATTTCCATGTGTTCCCCATCCCATCCGTGACATTGAACTCCACCTTATCTTCGCCTCGACGGAACTCGAACTCGTTCAGAGCCTCCATCGGAAATGACAGCCTCACGCCTACGTCGGTGTTAGTCAGACATTTCGAGAAAATTTTATCATCTGTTTCGGAATGCGGCATACCCATGGCTACTACGACAACAGGAAAAGAGTAGAAAGAGAAGCAATTTTTGGCTTGTTGAATATGGTTGTCTTTAAATAGAGAGAATTCATGTTAATAAAGATGATGGATCGTTCGATCATAGCCAGATTCTTTCGAAATGTATGCAGTATTTCTGGAAGCATGGCCCAGCCTTGTTTTTTCATGGACGTTGACACTTGAATTATCACCGTGATTGGGAGAAACACAAGTGACCTGCTCAAATGTCAAACTGGAGCTTTCACATTAACAAACCAAGCACTTACCTTGACATCAATGTGATTGCAACTATATCCATTAATTTTTAATTGACCTTTCCAAAAAAAATTATAATTTAACTTCGTCCCTTTAAAAAATTATGAATTTTTTATAGTTAAAATCCGTTCAATTCAATCTTAAAAATGATCTTATCCAAAATAAAAAAATTTAATAGTCATTGATGATTATAAGATAATATATATTCATAATTTCTCTGGGCCATTAACAATGCACACACCCTACAAACATAACTTCTCAAATCTGAAATCTCTAGGAAGAACAATACTATCTTTAATTACTAAAGTCGCTCGATGAGTTCAGCTCATCTTTAAAATTTGAATGAATTAAACCTAAAATAGTCCTAATTCGAAATGATTCGAAAATGAAACTGATTAGAAATTTTTAAATCCCTAATTTACTTTACTAAATAAATTTAATTCAAAATTATTAGTTTTGTTTTATTTTTTATTTTTACAAAGGAAGAGAGAGTGGTAATTAGGTATCAAATTCGAGATCTTATCTCAAATAAGATTAAAATGATATTACTCGTTAGTACATCACAAACTTGATTGACAATTTATTATTTATAACTTCATTGAATTTTATTCTTATCATGATACATAATTTTAAGCATTATAGTATGCGGAGATATAACATTATTAACGTAAAAGATAAAAAATTAGAGAATAACTACTTTAGATATTAATATTATTAAATTTTGTTATTTGACTCGTTTATATCATTAAATTTCTTATTTTTTTTAATTGTAGTACTGAATTCTAATTTTACCTTCAATTATGTCACTCCGTCGTTAAATCACTAACAGGAAGATGACATGACTAACAAATGCAGAGATGGATATCTAAAACGATTTTGTTTTAGACATTAAACTTTAAGAGTATATCAATTTTGTAACTTAATTTTTAAACAATTTAGTTTTTTTGGACTACATTTTTCAACCGCCGCCAATCAATGCTCATCATCCATCGTCTTTCACGGTGAAATCGATACCAAAATGTTCTCATTTCACTTATAATTCTTCTAATATGATTAGTTTTTCATGGAACCCACTCAAAATCGACGAAATTATTAAAAACAACGGTCACTTTTTAGATGTTTGGAGACTTTTTTTACGTAAGGGATTTAAAGTATTTGTTCGAAAATCTCAAAACTAACCTCATCAGAGTTCATTGAAAGATATTAGAGTATATGTCCAACTTTTAAATGAATTTCCGTCGATTTTGGGCGGTGTTTGGTTGCCAATGGCAATCAAAAAGTACAATGCTAAAAAGAAAATTGTTCAATGACAAAATCGGTAAACCTCTAAAGTTTATTGTCCAAAAGTACTTAGTTTTAGGAATCAGAACATTCACACTAAAACGACATCATTTTGGTGTGAAAAGCTACGTCAGAAACTGTTAGACATGTCATCATCTCGTTACTATCTTAACGACGAGATAATATAATTGCATGTAAAACTAAAGTTCACTGTTATAATTGATAAAATAAAAAATTCAATAATATTAACGATTCAACAGACCAAGTTTATGAAGTAGTTCTCCCAAAAATGCATAATATAAACCAGATTCTCAACATTTTGGTTAAATTAATTAAGGAAATCAACTATCGGAAGAAATCGAAGAAGAAGTATCATCTAGCACATCTTTTGGCAAATTAATGAAAGAAAACTATAATTCTTTAGAGAAAAATGTCAATTCAAATATAAAAATACTGTACTGATGTCATTTTGGTATTTTTTTTCTTCTTTATCGTAACTTTATTAATAAAGCAAACGCAGGAGTGATAGATTTTATTTTGTGGGGGCACCAATGGATTTTATTCGTAATCGTTCTATCCATCTGCATCTGCGCCGGGTTTTCGTTGTTGCACGCTCTTTTAACGAGCGATACGGTTTCCAACCCAAGAGGCTTCGACAGAAGCGCCAGCACGGCACTGCTCTGCTCCTATAAACCCTTGGAAAAGAGCACGAGCTATTTGTTTTAAGATAAATTATACTTTTAGTATCTCAACTATTACTTTTATTCCGTCTTAGTCACTAAATTTTTAGTTTATTTAAAATAATATCTAAAGTTACGTTTTAATTTTATTTTGGTCAGTTGTTAAAAATTAATATAACCACTAATGTGGTATTTAAAAAAAATTAATTTACCTTATGGTGAAACGTATGTATCACCATTAATTTTTTAATGGTGGAAAACCAGAATATAATGTTAAATATAATTTTGAAACATAAAAATAGTTAGATGACCTAAACGTAACAAAAGTGATAGTTGAGATACTAAATATATAGTTTACCCTTTGTTTTAATTTTCTTCTACATTTCTAAATTTACTGAAAAATCCTCAACCCCTC